CGGTTGCATTGGTTCTAGAAAACGGGTACGTGCCAAGATTTCGAGGCCAGATACCGAAACAAACAATTAACTTCTCTTAGCTACGCGAAGCACTTCCGCGAACTCACTTTCTCTTCCAGGGCCTACTTCGAGAATCTCCTTAAGCTTCAGGCGGGCGGTTGTCTTCACCCATTGCTTGGCGATATGGCTAAAGGAAACACAGAGAAATGGGTCACAGAACTCATGTCTGGGTTTGTAGGATCTGCAGACACGGGCAACGAGGACCTTGTCATTGCTAGCCGAGCAGCGCTCTGCGATTTCTGCGAGGCCAACCACGAGAACCTAGACCTTATCTGTCATGCGATGTTACAGAATCTTAAGTCCCGACAGGGCCAGGATAGGGTGATCGTGCCGACCCTAGAAATCATTGCATTCCTTTTCCAGATGCACCTCTTCCAGAAGAGCAGCGTCAACCTTCGTAACTTGTGCTTGCAGACACAGAAGGCGAGTTACAAAACAGGAAACGTCCGAAAGCTCGAAGCCTGCACCAAAGTCTATTGCGGTATTGCGTCAATGGCTGGCCTGGAAGACGCTGAGACAGGTGTCCAAGAAGCTAGGAAACGCTTGGGTGCTTTGCTGCATCATCCCTGGCCCAAGGTCAGGAGCATGGTAGTTGATGGTCTCTGGGGTGTGCTTGAAGAAGAGGAGGAAATCGCACAGAAGTTGAAGGGTATAGACTGGGGCCAAGCCGGGAAACCGCAGATCAAGACTGCGGTTGAAGAACTGAGGTTGGGCTAGTTTTCAGAACTGTATCCAAATAAGGCAGCTCAATAATGCTTGAGGAGGTGCAGCAGAGTCGCAGTGGCTGCGCGGCTTGAGCTTTGGTTCCTGATCGACCCGCGATTACAAGGCTGAATATCATTGCAAAAGTCAAAAGCCGATATCTACCGAACAAAAGAGAGTTGGTAGGCGTCAGACTTGTTGAATCGTTGTGACCCAGAGAGGAAGGTCAGTTAACCAACAGCCATCCATTAGCAAGCCCCTAATGAAAACCGCCAGTCAAATGATTTGTGAGACCAGGATTGTTGCAAAACTATGCATGGTGCTGCATGGAGCTTGGTGGCTCCAATAGTAGTGCAAAAGCCACGGCACTGTCTTGGTTGACGAATTGCCCAGTCAAGCCAGTGACCGACTCGTCAAAGTTCAGCCGACCTCGGGCTATTGAAACAAGACAATATTGATTTGCGCCATGTTTCTACCGATGTTCTAGAAAAGCCACTAGATGTCTCAGAACGCCCGCGAAGAACGTTCTTGATCATGATCTCACGTAAATACCAGCCAGTGTGATAGGGTTGAAGTGGTGAAAGGAGATACATTGGTAGTTATTTCATTAGCGTCTCGGGACCGAGGGGAACAAGCTGAAGGGCAGCTAATAATGGGAGTTAAGGCCACTAGCCTGGAGGAATGGGCAGAAACTGTATCCGTACATCCGTTAAGCTAACTATGGCTGACTGAATGAAGTTGCTGATGTGTTTTGATACTGAGGGGCTTTGATCAAGATAAAGGGTATTGACTCAAGCATTGACGAGTTCGTGGCTTTGAATCTAGCATTGAGCTCGTTGCGCAGGTCTATGAAACCATAACAGAGCTTAACCGATTTCGACATTGTATGGAGGAGAGATTTCCTGTTTCAAGGTCATGCAAGTCCGAAGCTGTTACGGAGTACAATATCGCCGTGTTACTGACTGGGCACCCAAACTAGAAGACAGCGGAATCGGGCCGGGAATGGTGGTTTTGGCAGGTCTTTATGACCGATACTTGCTCCAAAACTGGATAGGAACCGTTGCTGCAATATTCAGGGGTAGTTCCATGAGATTAGCCCATTATTTTGGCTACTATTTCTAGCTAGCTAGCTAGCTCAACCTGAAGCTTCGTTGTGGATATCATGTAAATAGACGAGACGAACATGGCGTGTTTGCTCCGCACAGGATTATAGGCGTCGAAGCCAGAGCTGCGCTAGAGAGACGATAGAGGCGAGTGAGATGAGGCCAACGGTCAAAGTTGGGGAGAGAGAGATAAGGCTGATACATGTATCGTGAGATGTGGAGTTCTGCAGATAAGGAGAAAGATGTGTGGATATTAATCCGTGCGGGTTATTACAATCACCCACAATTTCGTATCTTCACTTTGATGTGAGTGTGCCTACCTCACATCCTTGGAAGACTCGAGATGGCCTTGGCTCTCCATATTTGATTCTGGGGTTGTGAGACAGAGATCCTCGATGCCTGAGGTTCTGAGAGCTTGGCTTGCAAAGATGAGGAAACAGCTACGAATCCCACTTGGACCCAATCTGCCTTCCTTGAATGTGGTAATCAGGAAGTATGTAGTGGCAAGCACGGCCTTCGCTACCTAATAAACTCTAACGCGCACGGTTAAAATGTCAACTCGACTCAAGTCTCGAGATGCTTCTTCTCAACCACGAAATTGCTTGACTTTCACATGAACCTACCACATCATTCCAAGAGTCCCAGTAGGACGGTCTGAATGTGCGTGGGGGGTCATATGCCTCTCTTATCAATTCTGGCAACCACGTTGTCGCGTGATGTGACATGTCCTTCCTTGATGGGCGGCTGGCTGCTCGATTGGACCCTTGTTTCAACGTCTAAACCCGGGGGAAATGCGAGCTTCATATTGGACGGCCTGTTTTGCCCGCTTTTCAGCATCGGGCCAGCTAACTCAAGTCTCCCAAAGATGTCACTATCACATCGGATACGGCAATGCCAATGCAGAAGAACAGCTCATGATCAAGTACTCCCACAACGGAATGGCTGCAGCCAGTCAGCGGAAGCCAAACCTGGGCGCCGTGATAAGCGAAATGGAATCGCGTCCAGCCACAACAGCAGGATGGTAACACCTTTCCGCTGCTCCTTTCACGTATCGGGCAATTCCGTACTAGACACGTGAAATCGCTGTTGAATCCAGACCGATGCTGTTGCATTCTGTCACCATCGAACCCTTGTCAAGCTTAAAGCAATCTCTCGTTGACAAAACAGCGAGCTAGTAGCCAACCTCGACTGGTGAAAATGGCAGACCTCGGCGGCTCGGCCACGGTTACGGTTGTGTTTATTACCCGGCTTGGTGACCGACAACGGAACCGCAATCCACTCACCACGAGGAAGCCACAAGGCCGTTAAGGAACCTGTGCGCGGTTGAGTTCATTGTGTACTTGACAGCCTGCCTCATGACTAGGTAGTTTGGATTCCTCGAGTTCAGTACTGCCACCAAGCCTGGTGGCTGACTTGCTAGTCCTGCTTTCCAGGAGACGCGAAAGGGCTGGGAACCTTGCAATTTGAAACTAGTAACCAAAATCCTGAAGAGTTATCACCTCAATGAGAAGGGGACCTTCGACATCAATGATGCTTCACTGCCAATATTGCGCAACCACGCCGACGACAGGTCAGCCATTAAACTACTTATCAAGGATATCCTCATGTTTCGCCATGCTCACCAATATCAGCATGGCACCCCGAAAGAACATGTCTGCTCGTTGGCAAGAGCTTGATGCCCTCCTTGGCGTCTATGTTTCGTGTGCTACCATATTATGACTCGGCCGTCCACATCAGTAGCACCCAGCGACTTGGTGGAAGCCACCTGAGGTGCTATGCGAAGTCGATATTCAGCTGCGCAATCAATTTTTGATTTCTCTTATTATTATTAGCTTCCGGCTGTTGGCGTTAACACGGTACAGCATCGTTGGCTGCTGGGCCGCCTAAGCCATTTATTCACTAGGCTGTCATTCTCCCTCCTTCTCTGTCTTGGCTTGACTGCCCAACCCCAATCGTTGTCTCAATGCGGATGCCAAGACTCGACGTCCTTGATGCCATAGACTCGGCACCCGTGGTTATTGTTGGTCTTGTCTGCAGACTCGATTGCACCTCAGAGATTAATCATCAGGCTTAGAAAGTTTTCATATTATCATACTCGTATAACCAACATCTTGAGTCGCCATTGAGCCAGCTGCCGAAGGTCCAAAATGTTTGAACCCCAAGCGCGCTAGCTGAAAGATCCTGCATCAGGACCCTAAAATGCTCATCGGTCCAGCCCCAGCACTAGTGGAGCAAAAGCCAAAGACGACCGGTGCTTTGGATGCTTGATTACCCCCCCTGTCTCGTTATGTCTGTCTGGCCCATTTCGATTCTGGAACTCCACATGGTTGTGGCCAACGCCCCTCCCTCCAAGGACGCACAGGGTCGCTGATGACGGACCATGGGCTTGGGGGCGATAGGCTCGTGTGAGTGTACGCTGCGCAATCGCAAGACTCGCCCATCAACGCTACAGGAACTGACTGTGCCTTCCGGATGGCCAACCGGGATAAGTCGATTCGCCCACATTCGCTCGCCTCCGCAATATCTTGAGACCAGCCGCACCTTGTCTGCCTCCACTCTTCCTCTTATCTTGACCTGCTGCTTTCTCATTTACTCTGCTGTCTTAATACTACCTTCAGGTCTCTTCCCTACCTGGCCGCGGCCTGCTGGTTCATCCTTCGACCAACTGCGAAGTAATCCGCCAATGCATCCTGGACCTGCATCACTCACGATATTTCGCATTTACCTTGGTTCTGGATTGGTCTCTCCACGATTGCATATTTGAATAATAGCTCCAAGCTTGATCCATAGTTGTTCAAAAGGCGTCGCTCCTGGTTTTTACCGACTATCACGATTATAGTCGATATATCAAGCTGATACCGATTTCCACGAAGCGACGAGTCTACGATTTTCATGCATTCTTCTCCCGTTGAATCGATAATACCACCACTCGAGTGCCACCGCTGGCGGCCTTATGTTGAGGTAAATCACCAAAACACTTCAAGGTCGACTCCTGGTACCCTACCACGACATATTCGACCACCCACCACGACCATATCGATACGCCCGGCCAAGCTCTAACCTTCGTCGTTTAATCACTACCTCGCTCGTCGAGCCCTCTGCGGAGGACGACGGGCGCGGACAGGGGACGCAAGAATGGCTCTCTATTCAGAACCTCCAACTCTTCGCGAATTCAAATTCGATAAACCGACCCTCCTTGTTTGCTGGTGGGCCACATCATTCTGTACCCTCATCATTCTTCTGCGGCTTGCAGGCCGCTTTATCCGTACCGAGCGGCTGTTCACTGAAGATCGTGTTGCGGCCCTAGCTTTGATCCCTCTGTATGCTCGCATGGCATGCGTTCATTTTATTCTTATATATGGAACTAACAATGCTCAATTCGATGGTGTTGAGCTTACTGATCTTCAATTACGTCAAAAAGCCATCGGTAGCGGCCTTGTGCTGGCTAGTCGGATTTTCTACGCTGCAACGTATGTACCGCTCTCATTCATTTGAATATTGCTCACCGTCCGCATTCTTTCAAAGGACAACGCGAATATAGAACTTGACGCTGACTAGTCATAGCCTTTGGGTACTTAAGTTTGCAGTTCTCGAGTTCCTTCACCGATTGACTCGAGCGACGTGGGAACGATCATGGCAGACGTCTTTATACGTCATTCGAATAATCCTCGTTGCTACTTTCATTGCGGTTGTCATCAGTGATTTTGTCGAATGCCGCCCTTACAGTCACTATTGGCAGGTTGTGCCCGATCCTGGTGGCCAATGCCGTCAAGGATACGTGCAGCTTCTCACGATGGCAGTCTGCAACGTGGTCACTGACTTATTGCTCGTCATTTTCCCAATTCCGATCATTGTGACAAGCGGAATGACAATCAAGAGGAAGATACAGCTTGTGCTTCTCTTCTCCCTCAGTCTATCTGTTGTTGGGGTCACTCTTTATCGGGTACCTCATATCATTGATGATCACGGTCGTCAGCAGTATCGATCGCTTTTGGCGTCGGTTGAGCTTCTTTTTGCCACGGCTGCGGCAAACTCGCTCGTGTTGGGATCTTTCGTGCGTGATCGCGGCCTGAAGAAGCAAAAGTTCCGCCGTTCATCGGTGGCCGAATCCCTCGATCCTTCACTCAACCTTCGCCGCCCGACTTTGCACCGACATTGGGGAAGCGATGAAGACCTTGTACGGGACGTTGGTATGACGGTTGACCCAGAGCTTCAGGATCAGCCTGATAACTCGAGCGAGAACGGTGCTCTGCAATACACCCCGGCCCCTCTTCTTCGCAAACTGGATCAAGACCTCGAGCGCTGGCAATTTCCTCAGAGACAACGCAGTAATGCAGAGCACAGCGATGATTCCCTGATACAACACGACCCTCTCTCTCAGTCGAAAAGTGAGAACGGCATAGCACCAAGGAGAGTTTCTTTTTTCGACGTTGGTGGTTTGCTTGATGTGCCCCCCGAGAGTTCTGGGAGCCTTCGAGCAAACAGTCGTGCGTCATCTAAGGAAGACTCTTCACAATCGCATTCGCCCCCGGCACCTTCACTACCAGCAGGATCCGGAGGCTTTCGTCGAGGTTCAACTGCTTTGCTCCAAGACCTCGGTGGTCTCTTTGGACCTATGAATTCAAGGTCAAGTCGTTCCAGGTCCAAGGCTCGAGGAACGGAATTGCAGCCGATACCGCAATCCCGACAGGAGTCACGGCACGATTTGCAAGGTCCGCCCGTGGCGGAGCTAAGGGACCCAGGTGGCCTTCTAAACTAGCGGCCATCAACTTTGGTATTATCTATGATCACCTTTGACGATATCTTGACATTTTCACTTGCGACTACCTCACGACAACAGCGATTTTTGTACGGGATTTATTTGGCCTGGCTTGGAAGAGCTATATACGGCCTGGGGCGTTTATGCTACAGGCTCTGAATGTATTTTTGGTTGGCAGGACAGGAGTAATGCGCAGGCAGGGATCTTTTACTTGGGTATATGCGAAGTCTCAATATGAGGCAGGATTTGGAAATCAAGCATCCGCGCAACTATCGCGGTTTGCACTATGAAATGTTTGGGATTTTTATGGTTGTGTGTCAGGATGACATGGTTATTGGTTACATATACCCGGCAAACGCCAAGTTAACGTTTAATGGCATTGACATGATTTGTTCAATACTTAAGAATATCCTGAATGGTCGCACAACACGATCACCTATTTGAGACACAACGCTGGCAAGGTTACACGATACTTCAAAGCTCTGGTGGCATCCGTTACTTTAGAAGAACAAGACTATAATTAAGGTATTCACAAGCCTCGCATCTAGGTACACAGAGCAAAGGGCAAAGAGTAACTCTCGTAAATGCTTTATATTCCTTCATTGGCTTTGCCGCGGCAACGCACAATATACATAGAACCCCTGAAACGCCAGCTTTTTTAGAATTTCAAGTGCAGTGCGACGCCTCCGTCCTCGTACCAGGACCCTTTCCATACCTCTCGATCCAACAGCTCTTATCTTCGAATCGATCTCTCAAGACTGCCCCGTCCATAACTGTTCATCTATACACACAATCTATAACTGGCATAACGACCAGCTGTTTCACTGTTTCGGATAATCTTGACAACTTGGCCCCGCTTCAAACCCAAGTAACGAGCGACAGGGTCCTTTTGCAAAATGCGTGGTAGTTGGGTCTCCTTGAGGCGATAGCGCTTGAGAAGAGCGAGCTTCTCCTCGCGGGAGAGCAAGACGTGCTTAGGAACAAGCTCATGGTGGGTAATGTTGACAAGAAGATCATCCTCGAGGAAGCACTCGATCTTAGCGACGGACTCGACACTCTGGAGAGTCTTGCGGGCGGCGGGCGAGAGAGGAACGTGTGTTACCATGATGCCGGTCTTGTAGTTGTTCGTGATCACATATTTGGCAAACTGTCGGATCTGGTTGACGCCGAAAGTCTTATCAGCTAGGAACTCAACCCAGACAGGACCGCAGTCGGCGCCGGGGTTGGGGTTGGGGTTGGCTGCTGTCACGGGAGGTGTGTTCTTGCGGATCATGTTCTCGCTGGGACGCGCCGAGAATTGAAGCTTGGCGCGGCTGTATTCGGGCTGTTAGTTCCATGGTTTCTTTGTGACGTCGCAAGTATAGCCGGTCTTACTTGATGGAACCGTCGGGGTTGCAGTATTCGTCGCGGAAGCGGTCGAGAGAGATCTTGACTTCCTCTTCAGCGAGCTCGTATTCCTTTTAAATGTCAGTCGTATGCTTATTACAGAAAAGCTACACAGTCGGAAGTGGTGCGCGCTTCTCTAAAGTCTGCAATAGGGCTGTTAGGACAAACGTACTCGGTCCGCGACCATCTCATGGACAGTCCTCCATGCTCGCCAAAGACGAACAACCTCCTTGGACCTGGCGTCGGTGGGAACGTGATCGATATCCATGGTAGCGAGTGTGAGATGCGATTCGAGATGTGGTGTTGGTGGTCGAGATAACAAAGGCAAAAAGAAAAGATCGGAATCGCGAGCGTCGTCAAAAATGTTTCGTTCAGCCTTGCATCGTCGCCGCAAAAGTCCAAACTTCTTTGAGCGGGTCAGAGCACTGAAAGGGTCATGTGATTCTGATAGACGCCACGCACCGCCACTTATCCCTGCATCAGCCACAGTGAGAGGGTGAGTACAGTACCTAGGTAGGTACTGATCATGGAAGGTGGGGCGGGAACGAACCCTGGACCTGGGACGCGCCAGTGAAGCTCAGTGGTCTTTCCAGCGAACGCTACGCTAGGGGAAGGACCCGAGTCCCAAGGGAGGGGCACCCCTAGAAGGAGCAAAAAGAGAGTCCAGAGAGTGAGTTGCCTGTACAGTAATACTGAGCGACGGGAGCCCGACAATGGAAAGAGAGACAGCTCAGGGGCGCACGGGCCTGCCCTGAGAATTCACAGCAAGAGACACGGGTCCAGAACTTTACCTCAGAAGCAGAAGGTGATAGAATTCCACTGGCCGAGACTACATTTGCACTACCTACCTACACCTTACCTTAGCTTTATTCTGGGGTCGTCGTCTTTTTTTCCCTCCTTTTCGACAACACGTGTCGAACTTTGCTCAATTTAAGCCTCGCACTTGCACTTATCCTCGAGCAATTTCGCTCCTGGTTCCTTGTCTTCCACTTGATTCATCTTGGTTCTCGTCTTTGTACTCTCCTCTCATCGCAATGGCCGAAACCGCTACCTCTCCCGCTCCTGCGGCGGACAAGGCCGACAAGCAAGCTAATGTTCGACCTCCCAAGCCCGATGAGAATCTCTTTAAGCAGGAGCTCGCAAAGGCTGAGAAGGAGCACAAGGCTTCAATGGACCGTCTGGTAAGATCTTGCTCAACCCCCCATCCTTTTGAAAATGTGGCTTGGATCGATCCAGATTTCACATCTGTGGCCACATGAGCTGGAACTATCTATTGGAGTCGACATCAACTAACAATTATGCTCTTCTAGGCCGCTGTTAAGGCTAAGATCGAGATTGCTATGCCCAACAAGAACAAGGACCAGCCCAACCCTACCCAAAAGCGACGACAAGAGCTCATTGCTCAGGCCAACGAGATTCGACAGAAGCAGGCTGGCGGAAAGAACGCCCGTTCTACTAAGCTCGACCAGATCAAGCGTCTCGATGAGCAAGTTCGAAGCCGAATCAATGAGCAAAAGGCTGCGAAGAGCAAGGTTCCCTTCAAGAGCCTCGAGGACCTCGACCGCCAGATTGCTAGTCTGGACAAGCAGGTCAACTCCGGCACCATGAAGCTGGTGGACGAAAAGAAGGCTTTGTCAGACATCTCCAGTCTCCGTAAGATGCGCAAGAACTTCGGACAGCTTGACGATTCCCAGAAGCAGATCGATGACCTCCGCGCCAAGATTAAGGAGATCAAGGATAGCATGGACGACCCTGAGCAAAAGGCTCTCTCCGACCAGTATAACAAGATCCAGGCCGAGATCGATGCTATCAAGGCCGAGCAGGACGAAGCTTACAAGGGTCTTTCCAGTCTCCGTGATGAGCGCTCCAAGCTCCAGGCCGAACAACAGGAAAAGTACACCGCCATCCGTAAGCTCAAGGATGACTATTACGGACAGAAGAAGGCATATCAGGCCTACGACCGTGAGGCTCGAGAGCGTTACCGTGAGAAGCAAAGGGCTGAGCAGGAGCGCTACCACCAAGAGCGAAAGAAGGCTGAGGCTGAGCGTCGTCTGGGTGATGCCAGCGACCCTGCCTACCTAGACGAGATCCGTCGCGCCCACAGCCTGCTCCAGTTTCTCGATCCTAACCACAAGGTTGAGAAGGGCCCTCTGATGGCCGATACGGGTCTCGGTGCTCAGGCCCAACGAAGCGTTGACGAGTCTGGCCTCAAGGGTACCAAACTCCTTCGCAAGGAAGACCGTGATGAGGAGTACGCCCCTGCGGTGAAGAAGGGTAAGAAGGGCAAGAAGACTGCTCACGGCGGCTCATCGAACAAGTTCAACGTTCCCCCAGCTGTGGTCGAGGACTGTGCTGCCATGGGTATCGACCCTCCCATGAGTGCTGCCGATATCCCTGCTGTTGCTGAGAAGGTCCGTGCCAAGCTCGATTTCTGGAAGAAGGACCAGGATGCCCAGACGCAGCGTGTAAGTCATCAATCTCATAAAGCGCCTGTGAAGAGACTATGCTAATTACTATTTCAGAACATTGAGAAGGCTAAGAAGGAGATTGCCGAACTCGAGGCCGCTGAGGCTAATGGCGACAAGGTTGAGCAGACAACTGCTGACCTGAAGGAGACTTCTATTACTGATAAGCAGGAGTCGTAAACTTCCTTCTTATGGCAACATCGATTGCTCGTCGGTAATATCCCATACCGTCGATGCTCCTTGGGCTTACAACTTCCCCCTGCGCGCTCTCTACCTCGCCCTAGTTGATATTATTGTCCTCGTCCTATCCGATCTGTTGGATTCTTCCGGCGCCTACTCGGCATACCGAATCAAACGTTGAGCTTATATCAAACGTTATTCAAAGTTGTCTTGCCCACCAACTTTATTGCCCGAGTTACTTCCTGCTTCATACATCCCTTCTCCCCCTCTTTCAACGCCACATGCTCGAATCTAAAAAGCGCTTTTTTGTGCTGTTTTTGTAATTAGGCGCAGTTTCTTATTAAAGTCATGCGCAAGGAAAATGACAAAAAGTTGGTTCAACTTGTTGATGCATTGCATCTATTATCATTTAGAGTTGCGTGACTCGAGACTCGGTTATCGGGTTCCCTGTAGATCTAAACCCTAGGGTCGGGTTAATTGCTTATTGCCGCTCATAGACAGATTTGCTCAGACGTGATGAGCTCATGTAAATCTGCATCGAAGTTTTAGTTGGGCTGAGCCTGGGGTCGGGCATATACTACTGTGCCTCTTTGGGTCTACACTTCTCTGCTTGTTTTTCCTGTTGTGTGCATGCGTGTATGCAGTCGGCCAAGACCTGGTCATGTAACGATGTATGCACAGTAGAGTGTCGTCTTACTGCAGCAGATGATGTGTTGAAAACGCCGGCATGAGCTTGCATAACCTAGCTCACATCCTTCGACCTATCGCCATGACCTTGACTGCCTCGGATGCGTGCCCCTCTTTCGCACCGTTTCCCACACGTCCAACCAAGACATGGCTTTGTTCGCCGTGGTGCATGTCAAAAAGGCAAAGTAAGTTGTGGTGTCGTTCATAATTTTGCCTTCAGTGGCGTGGTATTTGTAATTTCAGATACAGACAAAATCGCCAAACTTTGTTTACCCCAGTTACTCCAAAGAAAAAATGCCAGACAGGAAAGCTTCTACTCAAACACAAATGGCAACGTCAGCCCAAACTTCAAAATCCCCAGTAATGGTGCCACCGTGGTCTGCTAGGCCGGTAATACTCCACGGCCTAGTTATGCAATGGTCGTGATGTTCGTAGAAATCGTAATATGGATTTTTTGTAGCATACTCAGCACCTGGATAGATGCTCACAATTAACGTATTGGCCATTTGTAGTCGCTTAGTATGGAGGAGGGAAATTATAGGCACCCGGCATTGGCGGCGGGATAGCCCCAAAATTAGGCCGCCTCATTTGAGGGCCGGGAGTTCGGCGATCGGGTCGGGGCATGGGAGGCTCCTGTGGATGCATCTGGCCTGGATCACCACGATATCCTGGAGGTGCTACTATAGCAGAGGCACCAGGGGGGGCAGTACCGCTTCGACGATTCACTTTTCGCGAGTTTGATAACGAGCCCAATGGCGGATCCTTTACAGCTGGTTCATCCTCCGCCGGCAGGGTGAGTTCAACAAGTCCAAAGAAATATTCCAAAACTTCAGGATACCGTTGTACGCTGGCTTGCCAGTCTTCGTCAATGCCGCGTTTGAGGGACGCTTGCGCTTCCGCAACTTGTGTCGGATGAGGCGGTGCGTGGTAGTAGTGATAGGCGTGGGCAGTAATTCGGTCCATATGCGCAGCATGGGCAGTTTTTCGTTGATCAGTTAGGAGGCGGAAGTATTCAAGTATGTAGTCTTGTGCATGCCCTCGGACCCAAGAACTATGAATTGACAGTCAGAACTGCTACGCAGCGTGATGGGAGGGCAAAGTTATATACCGTATTTCATTGTATATCGACCGCATCATGCGATCCTCGGCTTGTTTGACAGCAACGTCAAGGCCCTTAGCCTCACACTCGCATGCCATGTTGGCCGGAGCGTGGCATATCGCGCAATCAGGATCCATCCTGAAAATAGACTTGCCACTGTAGGGATAACTTCTGGGAAACATCTTAGCTGTGATATCAGGCGAATTGGTTTACACCGAATTAGAGTGGGTGAGCGTAGTGCAAGAGATGGCCAGTAAAACAATATTCATCTACGGTCAACTCATAACAACAACGTGAGATCCCCCTCCAACCCCGCAGACTTCTTTCATAGGGTTGTATGTGCGGGAGAGAAGACCAGCAACAGTGAGATTGAACAATGAGAAGACAAGAAATGGGGAGGGAGGTAGGAGGTAGGGATGAGGATGACAGAGAAGTTAAAACGGACCTAGCTAAAAGGCACGAGCCGTGTTAAAGTCGATTGACGGCGTGGCGGTAAGGAGATAACGACACTGGGTTGCAAAATGGTCTGGTTTGCCCGTCGAGAACCAGCTTGGGAAGGCGAGCAGCTGTTTCGCTGGAGCCGTATGTGTGCTGCACTGCAAGCACCAGCAGCTCTCGGGGCTCAAGCTGGAAATGGAGGGAGAAACTGAAGAGCGAGATGGAAGAAGTCGCGTGGGGAAGCGAAGGAAGCTATGTGGAGAGATCGAATGAGAGCAGGCCGACCACGTCTACAGTCGTGGCTCGAATGCGGGACCACGGATCGTATGCAGGCTGGCCCAATGGCTTCGAACTGGTACAAGGGAGGGGTCGATGGCGGCGAACTGTAGTTGGGTGATTGTGCGGCTCATGTGCTTTCTGCTAGGAATGGTGGTGTTGACAAGCAGTAGGTAGTACGCCAGATGGAGGGGTGAGTGGGACGTCAACGAAGAGTCAAGACGAGAGTTGTCCGAGGAAGTTTGAGTGAGGCTTGACGTGAAATAATTTACGGCAGAAGAGACTAGAGCTGGATCAACTAGCGAAGTTCAAAGAATGCAAGAGACAGCCAGGTGTGACAAATGGGGTCATCGGTTGGGTTGACGGTGGTAAGCCAGTGAGCATCTATCAAGAGTCGACGAATGAAGGTAAGGCCAGTCGTTAGGAATCCTAGTAGCGAAGACGGCGAGGGAACACTGAAAGGCTGACCACAGACACACAAGAGGCTCTGCTGGCTTTATCCATTGCTGCAACACCGATTCACCGCATTTTGGCGTCGGCTGGCGTTTGTTGTTAAGCTCGGGAAGCTGGGGCTAGCCCAATGCTGGTCAAATAGAAATGGACGCCAGCAACGAGCCATTCTAGGTGAGCTGCAGGATCCCGCCGGGGCGAGGCGAGACGAACAGACAGGGGAGCGTCGTCGAAAGAGAGCTGAATAGAGTTCAAAACGTTGGCTTTGTTGTCGGCAATCTTGAGCATAAATATCAGAAACTAGGTAGTATGTTGGAAATCGCATCCGCATTCGCACAGCGCGTGGGTGGACGTTTCCTTCATGGAGCGCCGGAAGTGAGGTCCGTGAGTGTGATACAGAGATGGCCTAGGTAGGTAGTTAGTGGCAACTTGCTGCGACATGTTGGAGGGACGAGATTGAAGGTATCACGAAGTGAGTATGAGAAGGGAGAAATCAGATGAGGAGAGAAATAGGCCTTGAAACTCTTAGCACTGCCTTCCTTCGTTAGTCCTAGCTGAGACCTGAGGCATGGATCCAAGCCGGCGGTTGCCTTGTAGGTTGATGGTACTGGTAGGTTGCTCTGCACTGAAGTCCTCTTTCCTTTTTAGGACTTACACGAAAACCACTTCATGATAAGATCCAATCCATGTTGGCTGAGATCAAAGTACCAGAGAGAAATCAATACTTGGTAGTATACCTGCTAACATAATTGCACAGAAACTCTGGCCTTGCCTACTAAATTAATTCAGGAAATTGTATTTGTACTAGTCTATCTCATCCATCATCTGCTCTGTCATGTTTAAATCAGAGGCTCACAAGGACCTTATCTAATCAGCAACCCCAAAATTTCGACCAAGCTCAAGGTAAGAAAGACATGAGCAAAAGATATTCAACATAACAGCTTCAATTCTGCACCAGAATTGTCGCACAATTCTTTTATTATGGCTCCGCGGTGCCCGGCTGTGTCTTCGACACTCCTACCATTCCTCTACCCTTCGATACTCCTGTCAAGACACACTCTCGCCAGCACAGCAGCTCTCCGACGTCGCTTCAACTCCACCATAAACGACCTTCCAGAGTCCCGACTAAACCCTGCTCCGGACGACTATGCGTCTCCTAGTTTCTCGGACAAAGCTTTCTTAACTCTTTATGCTGGCAGAGGTGGAAACGGCTGTATTTCTTTTTTGCGTGAAGCATACCTTGCTGAGGGCCCTCCCAATGGTGGTGATGGTGGTCACGGTGGCAACGTCTACATTCAAGCGGCGCATGGCGAAACCTCGCTGCACAAGTTGGCACGGAAGCGATTTGTTCGAGCCGGCCGAGGCAAGCATGGGCAGGGAAGCGCAAAGAGTGGAACACGAGGAGAGGATATTATTATAACTGTGCCTGTGGGAACAGTAGTCCGTGAAATAGAGCGTGAGGATCCGGTGCTCGACGAAGAGATGGATATGCGCTTGTGGCGCGCCCAGCAGAAACAAAAGAGAAAGGAGGAACTTATGGCTGCTCTGGAGCGAAAGCAGAGGCAAGAAGAGAACGAGGAGGGTTACGAAGAGGAGGGGGAAGAGGATGAACAGGTCGAAGAGGAGAATGAGGAGGGCGATCAGGATCCTGAGCGTCGCAAGTGGCTTTTATATCCCGGACTGTCCAAGACTGACATCAAACAAACCGTCTTTCCTCGATTGCCTAAACGAACTCGACTTCTTAAACAACCGCCTCCCACCATCCATCTCGACTTATCTCGCCCTACCCCAAAGCCAATCCTTCTCGCAACTGGAGGTATCGGCGGTTTGGGAAACCCCCACTTCACATCCAGGGCGCATCCTCGGCCCATGTTTGCTACCAAAGGTGAAGAGGCTGTTACCATGAAGATTGAGCTTGAGCTCAAGCTCCTTGCTGACGTCGGCCTCGTCGGCCTTCCTAATGCTGGAAAAAGTACCCTCCTTCGGGCCATCACAAACAGCCGTACTAGAGTGGGCAACTGGGCCTTCACAACGCTGCAGCCCAATATCGGCACCGTTGTTCTTGACAAGTATTCTGGTCGGCCAGTAATCAAGAGTTATCGCCGGTATCCTGCTCAACTGGGTCTGCCCGAAGCAGTCGACACCGAACCACGCACTCGATTCACGATTGCTGATATTCCTGGTTTGATTGAAGGTGCACATCTTGACCGTGGCCTAGGCATTGCTTTCTTGCGCCATGTCGAACGCGCTGGTGTCCTCGCTTTCGTCATTGATCTGTCTGCTGGTAATGCAGTCAAGGCTTTGGAGTCACTCTGGCGTGAGGTTGGATTATACGCACAAATGCGTGATGAAGAAGAGGCCGATCGCGCAATCGAATCACGCATTGACTGGGATGTGGCGTCGGATATGGACGGTCCTATGAATCTGTCCCCAGGTATGGCGAACGATGAAGAGGATTTCAGTTCAAAGCCAGGATTACAGATTGCTGGTAAGCCATGGTTTGTCGTTGCAACCAAGGCTGACTTGCCAGAGACACAAGAAAACTTCAAGGAATTAAAACAATACCTTGATAGTGTCACAAAAGGCGAAAAGCCGCATCCAAGCGGAGTAACGGATGCTTGGACAAAAGACTGTGCTGTTATTCCGGTGAGCGCAATTAATGGCCAGGGCGTAGATAGAATTGTACACTGGACTGTGGGATTACTAGACGAGTAGACGAAGTTTGGAAACATCTTGTATTAGACCATTTGTATCAACATTTCATCCCTGATCATGATTCAAACTGTAACAACACCAAAACAATATAAAGCAATTGTACATTGACCCATTTTTAAGCCGTTTCCATCTTCTGTTCCTCAGCCTCTACTGGCTCCGTTGCTGGCTCCTCGGGCGAAGGAAGATCCGCAACATCCACTTCCTCCTTGGCATCATCACCAGCATCGGCCTCCTTGGCGTCTTGGACAGCCTTCTGGTTCTTCTGCGCAGCAATATTGATGAGTGGGGATGTATCGTTAAAGATGCGTAGTAGCATAGCAGATCGATCCTCCTTGGGAAGCATGAGGTTGAGGGAGTGGATGCTCTTCCAGAGAGGGAGAGCCATGCGCTCTCTAAAGTCGGGGTCTGTGCCGTCAGGCTCAACGCGAAGAACAGCGCAACCCATGCCAATATCTCGGACGCGCTCGCCGATCTCGTCGAAGCGCTCGTACTTGCCATCGTTGATGCGAGGGAACATCTCGATGAGAAGCTTGCGGAAGGTCTCCTTATTGTGGAGGTGCACAACACGGGGCTCGCCGACGTAACCCTGGAGGATGGGCATACCCTCAGCCTGAATACGCCATCTGCATACATCAGCGGAGGGGGCGTCCTGCTTCATGTACATACGGACACCACCATGGATGAACTTGATGCCACGGCCCTCGTTCTCGATAAGGATATCGCGGAGGAGTGCGCTGGTGTAATAGATGGCCTTAGCAGGCTCACCCATCTCGTTCCGGACCATGTACCGATCGTCAGGGAAGCGCTTAGAGATATGATAGAACTCCTTAATGTTCTGGACGGTGGGGTGTGAGACGTCCAGATACTTGAAAGCCTCCTCGACGGGGCCGTTTCGGCGGGGCTTGCTACCCTCCTGTGCCACTTGGGCAACAGGAGTAGCAGCAGCTGAGGGCTCAGTAGACTCAGTCTTGACCTTTTTAGCGGGCTGATCTTGAGCATCCTCAGTTTCGAGAGGTCGTTTGCTACCGTTGGTAGACGCATCCGCCATAGCAACATCCTCCTGCTTGTCTTCAGCCTTGGCAGGTGTAGCTTCAGCTTCAGCAGGAGCAGTCTCCGATTCGGTCTTCACCTTGGTCGTCTCCTTGGCAGGCGCCTCTTCAGCAACCTTCTCAGCAGGAGTGGCCTCAGCGGGTTCCTCAGTCTTGGCGGGCTTGGTCTCCTTCGACTCGTTCTCGTTCTTAGCCTTGAACTCAGACTTCTTCTCCAAGACTGTGATGAAGAAGCCACCAGTGTCTTGCATGTGAGGATAGACTCTCATGCAACGCTCAAGAGGCAGGTCAGCGCATTCAGCACCCTCAAGTCTGGGGAACATGGTCTCAACGACTCGTCCAGGGATAACACCGTCGGCGCTCTCCTTGGCAAAGTCCTCAACCTCTTTCCAAGAGCTCCAGATACGGGCACTCTTATCCATGATCTTCCAGTCCTTCAATCCGGGGTATCGCTTCAGGTTGGGCAGCTCATTGCTGCAGTCGACAATCTCAACATTCGCAGGACCACCACATCGCTCAATGGCTGAGACAACCACAGACTCGTTCTCAACAGGGTTCATACTGCAGGTAGAGAACACGACACGGCCACCAACCTTGAGAAGCTGGAGAGCGCGGACCAAAATTCGAATCTGGGTGAGGTGCAGGCCGAGAGCGCTTCCGGGTTGCCAATCCTTCCAGATGTTGGCATTCTTTCGCAGAGTTCCGTCACCGGAGCAAGGGACATCAGCCAGGATGCGATCGAACTTGAGGTAGGTTGGCTTCTTGCCATCCTTGGCAGGGAGCCTAATCGAAGGGAATTGGGTAGCATCGTGGTTCGTGACGAGAAGGTTAGGGGAAGAAAGTCGCTTGAGCTGATGGACAAGCATGTGTCCGCGCTTGTAATCGGAGTCGTTGGCGACAAGCATTCCAGTAGCCCGTCCAGCGTCGCTGGGATCGGCTTCGAGGTCGGCCTCAATCTCATCTGCGGTCTCGGCACCAAGATCCAGTCCATCTTCCTGAGCATAAGATCGGAGAACCTTGCGCACACGGGCCTCCTCGCCCTGGTGAATCATCTCGAGCAGTTGCGCCGCCTTGCTTCCAGGAGCAGCACACATGTCAAGTACGGTCATGCCAGGGCGGAGATCCATCAGCATAGGGGGGATCATGCTGACGACTTCCTGTCGGCTGATGTTTCCAACGCTCGTCTCGGAGACGAGAAACTTCTGGAATGCGGCGAAGGGAGGGAACTTGCGAACGACGTTCTTGGGGGTAGTCATCCACCAAGCAAGCTCGTCGGGGTACCAGGGCACAGGCTGGGGAGGTTCAACAGGTCGGCCATCTTGATGCTCGATCTTGACGATCTCGGGGATATATCTGGTCTGTAGAAGGCTCTTGACAAGAAGGGCGTGACTGAAAGCACATCGAGGTTAGCAGACAGATTTCGCGTTACGCGAGCGATTGCGACAGAACGTACCCTTTAGAGCCGCAGAATCTGAAGCTGTTAGGAAGCTCACGTCTGAGAGCCTCCCAGTAGGCGTTCTTCTCCTCTTCAGGCAGCTGGAGGAGGGTGTCATAGAAGCGCTGGAGCTTCTCGTTCTCCTTAGGAATGGCAGGATAATCTCTCCAGCCACCTCTATCCTGGTTACCACCACCTCGGCCGCCACCGCCTCCTCTTCTGTTCTTTCCCTGTCGTGTTGTCAGTAAAGGTCACAATTGGGGTGTTGCGTCAAGTGTATGCGCACCCTAAAGCTCTTTTTGCCCATTGTCGCAAATGTCTTGAAGTGGTTGAATCGAGAGAACATTCAATGCGACAAAAATTTTGGACTAAAAAAAAGGCCCCGCCACTTTTTAGCATGTGCGACGCTAAAAGTATGCAAGGTTTATAGTGGGTTTGTGATAGCTTCACAACATTAGCCTTGGGGGGCAAGAAAACATCAGACATTAATATCGGGTGTCAAAATAAACTTGGCAAAGAGTATCCTAAGTCTATACTAAACTTATCCTATACCTATACTAAGTTACCTAAGTCTTATGAGTAAAGGTCCTGAGTTTTATTTCCTCCTTTAGACTATGTAGAAAAAGAGAATGATAGAATCTTAACTTTATATCTTGAAAGGAAAAGTACCATGTGAACTTAGGAAACGCTTGAATGTATGAGAAATAACATTTTGTAGTGTCTTGTAGTGTTATCTGCTCAGTTCCAACCCAACTGGTCATGATAACCGTTATGGTGACGGGGTAAAGATTAGGAAATAACGTCTTTTTTCTGGACAACGTTATTGCATATATATATTTGTTCACTCTCTGACAATTTCGTAAGATCCCGCGGTAATAGCCCCAGAAACCTGCTTCAGACTATCAGCATCGTGTCTGAAGACCATGATGACAGGACCTCAATGACTGTTTTGAAATTTGCCGGTCTATCCACAGTCACTTGGCCAAAGGCAGTTAAATACGAGGAATAGGTGCTTTAATGGATCCAGCGGAGATGTAGTGAGTAGACTATTTGATATGAATGTTTATTAAACCCAGCTCCTTGGTTGGTTACAAGCCGAAATCGGCACTCATGCTGACCCGACCCTGGCCTTCTTTCTAGTCTATTGGGTTAGAGCTGAACGATAATTGTCGATCGTGACTCCGACAACCGCTTAGAGCCTCATCATTTTCTATATCAACGTCGTGGCTGGAGAGCTATCTTCGGGTCGTATTTTCCAAGTTGTTAAATGGCTTTGGCCTCTTCATTTCATCCTTCATTCCAATCTGCCACCGCTGTATGCAGAACACTAAATGCCGTCACCGTCCCGGCGACCAAATGGACGACCAGAAGCTTGCGATCCATGTCGTGCACGCAAAGTCGCCTGTGATCACAGGCGACCTGTTTGTATGCGATGCCAGAGGAGAGGAGACAATTGTGTCTACACAGCATCATCCGCAGCATCGCGAGTCAAAGCTTCGATTCAGTCTAGTCCAAGCCTCCCGCCACAACCTGCCAAGCCGATGACCCGAGACTACGCATTTAGTCCAGGCTACCTTGGTTTTACAAGCTACAACTCGGTCTTCCAAGGTGCTCGAGAGAGTCTGTCTCTTTCTGACACAGGCTCCGGATTTCCCAGCCCAGAGGCAGCAAGCCCTGGAAGCGATGATGTTTGTTTACGCAGTTTGCCTTTGCCAACACAGCAAATGTGCCTTGTTGTACTACTGTATCTTCCGGGACGACCAGAAGCACATATGATATTCCACGACGAACCTGGTCCTGAGAACACCACGAGTTGGTCTCACACAGCTGTATCAAGAATCATTAAGTCTCTGCGGCAACTTTTTCAAAGTTTTGAGGGCAGTGAATGCTTCGACGAGCAGGTTGCTGATGTGCTGTGCCGCAACACTTCGAAGCCTGTCAACGATACCTTTGATACTTTTGATGACTGGATAGCCCAGTTCTGTGGGCCAAACATCCGATGGGAGTCGATAGGGCTTCTGTGGGCTCATCTCGAAGGTCTTTCAGATGCAATATCCACCCTGACACATCGTCAGCTTCAGTGGGTTGAAGGCAAGCGGTCATCTGTTCTCTCGCACGATCATATACACTACTGCATTGAGATAGCGCGCCGTTTCACAGCTGGCAACAATATGCTCCTTGATCTCTGTCGACGACATGCAGCTCTTGGAACAATGGTTTATGGCGATGCTAGTAAGTTCACTATCAAGCCCGGTATCTTACACTAACTCTTTAGGCCCTGTATACTGGAACTCTCACAGTCTATGTGTTTCTATGCTGCTTTTCTTGGGCCTTCATGCTTCGGGAGAGGCATCGAGGCCACAAACACAGCCCCAAAAGACTTCATTTTGTGTCGAACATAAACGTTTACTCTACAGCTACATCTTTGCAAATGACAAATCCGAGGTCTCCTTTACTGGTAGGCCACCACTTCTTAGTCGCCGCTATTGCTCATCAGTGCCGCCCCTGGATTTGACAGATAGCTGTATGGTATCTGAGGACACGCTGATAGAAGAGCGTAACGCTCTCGATGACAGGGGCTGGAACACGAAGGGTGAGATTTCCAGCAACAGTTACATACGGGCTCGCTACTTGATGGCATATGTCTTTGACGAGGTGATAGAAGTGGCACTTGGCAACGATACCCATGCCACGCTTGAATATCTTCAGTAGGTTGTCGCTGTAATTTTTGACATATACTAACAGGATAAAGAAATATCAAAGCTCGGGTGATGCAAACTTTTCTCGAAATGCCTTCGCATTTGATTTTCAAGTTTGAAGATCTAGATGATCCGCATCTTGACATGAATGTTCTTTATCTAAGAATATTGCTTCATCTCGCTCATCGAAAAGATGTCTTTGTGGTCGAGAGACTGCTTCTTACACATGGCGCCATAGATGATGGCTCTTTACTTGCAACTAGTTTTGATTTAGTCAAAGTAACGGTCATGCTCTGGATACACAAAAGTCGTTTTGCGCCTATGCGGCGGAACTTTGAATGGCTTGTGAGTATCGTCATCCCCCAATAGTTATTCATTCATTCTGATTTTATGAATAGCTGGTAGCGTACGGAGCACTAGGAGGAGGCATTCTCTGTCAAGAGCTACTTCGACCAACCTTCTTAGGGGTTCATCCCTTGAATCCTGCTCTTTCACGGTCCAACATCGTCCAACAACTGAGCTTGCTCGTTGCTTTCTTGAACTGGGTCGGTCCCAGTTCGCCAAACAGAGTTGTTTGTGGAGACTGCGAAGCAATCATTCAGCGTGTGCTTGATGAGCATTTAAACTCCGAACCGACTGGCAATACAGACCTGGTACCGTTAGGTATAGGGGTTCCTCCGTCTCTGACATTCGGGTTCGAGTTGCTCAATACATTTGAGTGGCTCCAGAACGGCATTTAGAGAGTGTGTAGGTGGTTTCGGAAAGCTGACCAAGGGTTACCAAGGAATTTCTATAGTCAAATCACGTCACGTCAGGGGAGATAAAATGCAGCAAAAGATCCCATTGTAGAAAGGATGTTCCTCGTGAGCTAGGGAGGAAATAAAACTCAAGACCTCAATCCTAAATGACAAAAAAGGCTAAGGTAACTCAGTATAAGTTTAGGAT